TGTCTCACCCTCTCGAGTAGCTGAGACCACAGGTACTTGCAGCAAGGCCCAAACCCAAGGTCTAATTCTTGCTTAGGTTGGTCTCAAACTTCTGGCTTCAAGGGATCCCCGGCCTCAAGGGCTACTCCCACACCAGCCTCCCAAAGTACTAGGATTACAGGCATGAGCCACCATTCCTGGTCAAATTATAGCATATGAGTAATTTGATCATCAAAATCTCTTGAGATAGTAAAATAAATCACCCTTTAAGATTTGTGATGTTGGGTTCTGTTTAACGAGGAATTCCTTACTAGTCATGAAGACTTTAAACTGGCTTACTTACTAAAGGCTTTATAGTTCAGCCTTTTATAATCAGATATACAATGCCCAGTGAGTTGATGGTTGGTGTATAGTGTGAAATAGGGAACCAATTTTAGGTTTTTTCATAAACGGTTGGTCCAATGTTGCATACTGTCATGAGAGGGACCTCGCTCGACCCAGCACAAGGAGGGAGAGTTGACCTGAGTGGAAAGGTGGGACATGAAGAAATACAAAGCCACAAAAGACAGGAGCTGAGAGATAGGCTGGTGACGCAGCTGATGACTGCAGCCAGCCCCTGAACCATGGAAAGAGCTTTATTTATACGGTATCTTAACAAGTTTGCATAAATCTTAACACATGAGGTAGAGATCAACCTTGAAGAGGAAAAACTGTGTGCTTGCTGATAACAAGGAAGTATCCATAGCCTACGTGACTTTTGACAGGTGAAAATAATGTTGATAAGGGAGGAGAAGTGGTTGGGGTCATTCCTTGAGCATTACCCAGGCTGTGGGGGCCCTGCCAGCCACAGCCTGCTCCCCACAGTCCAGAACTTTTAATTTTGATACATAGTCTCACTCTGTTGCCTGAGCTGTGGGGTGGCAGCATCAGCCTATCTTTCAGACCCCTCAAACTCCTGGTTTCAAATGATCCTCTTGCCTCAGTCTCCCAAGTAGCTGTGACTACAGGTGCCTGCCATGACACCCAGCTAATTTTTCAATTTTTAGTAACGACAGGGCTCTCACTCTTGCTTAGGCTGATCTTGAACTCCTGAGCTCAATGATCCTCCCATAGGGTTAGGACTACTGTCGTGAGCCACTCCCAGCCCCTTTGTCCTACTTTTTCCTCCATCAGGGGTAAGGTGACCAGACTTCCTGCTTATGGCTGGACAGTCCCAATTTTTAACAATTTGTCCCGTGTCCCGCGGTATTTTAAAAAAGTCCTGATTTTTGGAAAGAATGCACAACAAGCTAGGGAACACGGGAGAACAGGAAGGGAATATTCAGCTGCCATGTGGCTATTTCATCAGGATTTGAGTTTTATATTATTTTTGTTAATTTTATTTTTATTTTTATTTTTATTTTTTTTGAGACAGAGCCTCAAGCTGTCCCCCTGGGCAGAGTGCTGTGGCATTACAGCTCACAGCAACCTCCAACTCCTGGGCTCAAGCGAGTCTCCTG